TGAAAACATAAAAGTTCTAGGAAATTGTCTCAGCTTTCCATGAAAAAACAATTGAGGTCATTTGGACTTTCAGAACTCTAGATATAGGCCAAAAATTTAACAGTGTTTGGGTTGTAGGATAGATTCGAACTTCTTTATTGTTGCTATAATTTGGACTTGAAAATGGTCGTTTCAAATTTGGGCTCCTCAAGAAAGTTATAGGCATATGTCTTACCTTTTCATCCATATAAAGTAGACCTAAATTCGAGATCTACAACTCGTGATATAACCCAATTACTGAACACTGTTCTAGTTTAGACTGCATAAGCATCTGTTTTCTAAGTTTGGTCATCTCTTTGTCCTTTCAATTTCAGTTCTTAAACTCATCAATCAATCCTTTTATTTATGTGATAGACCTACATTTAAAATAAACATTTACCATAAATTCAAGGTATCTTAAATTATTAGATATGTTATTATAAAACATACTTTAATTAAGGAGTTACTGATACTTCAAGTGCAAAATGATGATATACAACCTTGATAAAAATGCACTTTTAAGTACTAATCAGGCTTGTTTATGAAGACATTCCTTAAAAGAAGGTAAAGTTGGACAATTATTGGTTGAATGTTCATTTGTTTCACACATTTGACACACAATGTCTTGAATAGATTTTAATTGACCACTCTTTTTTAATTCTAGTGCCTCGACTTTTCTCGCTAAAGAAGCAAACTTGTAACAACTCGGTTTTTCAAGCCCCAAAACAACATAATTTGTTTTTTACTTGACACACATCGTGTCGGTAATTTGTGAACCTATTTTCCTCACATCATCAAAATACAATCCATACATCAACAACATTCAACATTTCATTTAAAAGGGAATTTTACATAAACACATAATATTATGTTTGCAAGCTTAGAAGTTCATATTATAATATACATCCATAGACATGAGTTTGCATTCCTATCCTACTAATAGTCACAATGAATTTTAAAAAAAAAGAGTTCAATAAAAGTTATACATTTAATGCATTGATCCATACAAAATACATCGTGATTTAGGATGCAACTACATGATTCCTTACAAAAGTAGGTTCCCGTGTATCGGGTTTCCTAGGCATCTCGTTGATGTGAGGCCCCTGTTGCAGTGCAAAACATTCAAGAGAATGCAATAGCTTATTAGTAATAATGATAATTAAATGGTTTGGCAGAAAAAGTGAAACATTAACATTATTCCATGGTTGATGCATGATATTTATAGTTTCTTC